AAAAAGTGAGAAAAAAAAAGGGCTTCTTGGGAATCTCTCTCTCTTTTTCTCTCTCCAGGTTTTATATATAATTGAGTTAGCACATGCTCCAAGCTAAGCTGGGTTTGCCCTAATGTTTTGGCTATCTAATTGATAATTACAAGGCAAAAAACTAAAACACAAGCCCATCTATACCCTTCCTTTGGTTTTATTGCTTTTTGCCTTTTCTATTCCCACACAACTTCTTTATTCCTTCAAAACTTGCCCTTTTTTGCCTTCAAATCATGGACCACTCTATATAATACCAAACACACAAAATTTAAGGTTGTTTCATAGATAAATTTGATAAATAACATAGAAAAACCAATACCCTTTAAAACAATCAATCTTTGTCAATGACCCACTTGACCATTTTAAAGCAATATTGTCTAAATTTAAATGGGACAATTTAACCCATTTTAATCAATATTGTTCTTGCTTCAAAGTTTAAGGTATATATATGGGCTATGATTGGGTAGGTATAGTTAATTAGGAGAGTGATTAATTATTGGAGCAACCAATAAATGGGCAATTAAGGAAAGTACTAAGTCTCCCAATTAATGGTCATATTTGGACAATATTTTATTGAAAATATGACTTGGTTTTGTCCTTGTTTTTATTCTCTCTCTTGTGAAGCATTTGGCCAACTCAAGCACTCAACTTTGGATGAGAATATAGAGACATTGGGAAGTATTATTTTTACCCTCTCTAGCAATTAGTGTACATTGTATTCAACCAATTGAGAGGGAGAGATTTGTCATTTTGGACTTTGGAAGATGTTGGCTTCACAACTACCTCCAAGACCTTTAGTAAACCAAATAGAAGTGCTTTAGTAAACCAAATATATATATATATATATATATGTGTGTGTGTGTGAGTGTCTGGATCGACTTGCGTACATTTCGACTAATCTCATAAAACAACTGTCTGATCTTATTACATTTGATTGTCAAGAAAATACATAAAAATTAATTCCTAGATAGTGAAGGTTCGTGTCAAATTACACTCATCTCGATTAATCTCATGAGATAACTGTCTAACCCTATCATACTTGGTGGTTAAAAAACACCCAGAGGCAGAAATCATGGGTTAATTCCTAAATATGTAATATTATCCAAACAGCCTAAGGGCACTAGTTTTGAGTTTTTACACCATCATCTTCTAGCTCTTTCTATATGGTTCTTTTTTACCAAAAGCATTACAATAAATCTTTGTTTGTTCATATCTGTCACTAATTCTTATTTTTATTTAACTGGCAAACATTGTACTAAAATGTATAGAAATTAACATGAGAGTCACTTTAAATTAGAACAAAAACTTATAGTGCAAATGTTAAACCAATAATTATGTGTACCGTTTTGCCTTTATTCTTTTGTGTAACAATCTTTCTATCAACTATTTTATAAAATTATGTTAAAATATAAATTTCTACCCTACTCAAAAGGTTTTTTTGTTCAATACAATAAATGTGGATATGGGAGATTGAACTTCCAATCTTTAGAGAATGAGCAAGATGTCTTAACTGTTGAACTATGCTCGTGTTGGCCAAAAAAATTCTATTAAGTTATTAGATTTTAAAAAAAAAAAAGTTAGAACATGTCATGAACAAAAACACCTATATAAGAGGGCCTGCTACAAAGGTCATGGAAGAAAAGAATTACAAAAAGATAAGAGGATAGGCCACCAACCAAGGTAAGAAAGACATATAATAGTAGGGCTCTAGATTCTATAATTGCTATTTGTTTATTCTTTTTTTTTTTATTTTTAGTTCAATATATGCAGGTGAAATTTTGAACTTATGATTTTCTAGCCCAAAATATATGCTTCGATCATTTAAGCTATGTTGATGTTCTTAAATTAACTTCTTCAACTTTAAAAACGAACCTCAAAAAAATCACTATACAATATAACATTTTAACACTAGTTCTAAACATTATCTTGAAATACTTGAAAGATTGATGAAAGATTATAAAATCATGCCATATTTCAAATTAAAGCAAGAAAAAAAAAAGACCACAAAACAAAAAAGAAAATATAAGATCAAAAGTAGGGCAAAATTAAAGCTCTCTCTCTCAAATTTACATTGTCTTCTTGCCTTATTTTTTTCATAGCTTTCAAAAGGAATAGAATAATAATCATCTTTATATACTAGAATCTAGAATCTTTGCATTATCTTATCAATCTTAAAACATCTCCACACACTGATATTGAAATTGTTGTTTCCAAACCCAAAAAAAAAAAAACAAAAACAAAAACAAAAGAAAAAAAAAGAACATTTTACATTTGAAGACATTAATGTTTCTCAACTTTAGACACCTTAAAGGTGATAATTTTTTTGCACTTGCTTCTGCTTTTTGTTACCCTAAACGAATAAATGTTGTTCCAAAATGTCCCAAAAAGAGCATCTGGGTATGCCTCAAAACATGAAAAACAAAAGAGAGATCAATCGTCTATAAATTCCATTCAGAAATTAAACTCGAAAAAGAGAGAATGTCTATAAATTCCATTCGAATTAAACGTTTTACTGGTTCAACAAATGTGG